GATGCCATCACTGCCGGCTTTGCATCCGAGCCGGCGCTCGCTGTGGTCATGTGTGGAGCCGGTGGGGAAGGCAGGAATATTTTTAGCCTGCACTTCTGTGAGCTGCTCAGAGGGCCGCCCACAGCAGAGTATTAAAATAATAGCGGGGACATTGGGTAAGCTCTGCAGAAAAATGTTGATATGCAAATTGCCATCTTAAGAGCAAACCTCAAGGCGATTTTTGGCAATGCATGCAAGACTCCAGAGCGGTGTGTTTTGAATAAAGATTACAGCAAAGGGATTTTGCCTGGAGGCCACGCTCGTCTCATTTATTCTGAAGCTTAGCAGAGCTGGTAATTCAGTGTTGGAAGCCAACAGGGTGAAACGTATGCACCTTTAAAAAGGTATTAGATTAGCATTGGTGAAACAAAATGTCACGTCACCTCTGTAACTGAAATTTCCAGGCTTGCAGAAGCAATAAATTCAGTTGGATTTCATTTGTGAGCAGTTCCTGGTCGCTGTCCAAGGACGAGGCGGCTCTGATGGCAGCAGAGTTGGTTTGGGAGGTTTTGAGGCATTACCTGGTGAAAAAATGAGCTTGTGCCAACTGATTCCACACTGCTTTGACTTTTCTCTTCAACTTGGTGGTGGATGGCTTGGCTGTTGGAAACTTTGCAGTAAGAAATCAGATCACACATGAATTCCTTATTTTTGTTGGGTTGTTTTTGTTTGTTTGTTTGGTGTTTTGGTTTTTTGTTTTGTTTTGTTTATTTTCTTAGTTATTGAGTTCATGTTGGCACTACTAGGAAGGAAACAGCAGTAAATTTGTAGAATATTAGGACAGTTTGGGTTGGAAGGGATCTGAAAGATCATGTCATTCTGACCCTCCTGTGGGCAGGGACACCTTCTGGTAGACCAGGTTGCTCCAAGCCCTGTCCAGCCTGGCTTTTGGACACTTCCAGGGATGGAGCAGCAACATTTCCATTTATAATGTCATGTCGAGCTTCCCATCCACCAATATCCCCAAGTGCTTCCTCTCCTCAGGACTTTTCTTGATGAAGGATTTGAATTCTTTCATTTATTCCAGTTCTTGAGGAGCGAGAATGAAATTGTAGGTGTTTTCATTGTTCTTTGTTTCCTTCACCCATCAATGCCTGAGCCTTAATAGGTGAAGGAAAAGTTAGTTTCACAACAAATCCGTTGCTCTAGAATTGGAAAGTGGCAGTAAATTAAACAATGAATTTTGGGGTTTGTTTGAAATTTTTTAGTTTTTGAGGATTTTTACAAATCCATCCCTTTTAGAGGCTGGAATGGGATGATTTTGAGGGGGAATAAAAGTAGTTGGTAGCTAATTTTTCTCACTTTGAACGAAGCATGGAAGAACCAGGTGTCTGAGACTCTGTTGGAACACATTCTGACTTTGATGCAAGTTTCTGTTGATCAGATCTTAGTTCACTTGTATCCTTTTACTTTAATTACATGTTCCAGCACCATGAGACTTTTAAATATCAGATTTTGAGAATGTTCTCTGCCAAAACTGCACGCTTTAAGTGCAGATCCTGTTGGCAGGCATCTCAGGAGCTGTTGACTTCCCTCTTTTGTAACCTCATCCTCCCTTGCCGAGTTTTTTTCTCCTTAAAATTCTAACATCATTGGATAAAACAGCGAAGCTCATGGGTGTGTAGCCCTGTGAAGATCACTGTGTCCTGCCTGCATCCCAACAGAGCCAAGTGAGAACAAGAAGAACATCTTTTGAGTTTGGTTCAGGCACATCTTGGATCTTGTTTGTGTCTGTCCTTTGGTGCATGGCCTTAAACACAAGATGCTGGTTTAGTCTTCTCATGCTGCCTTGTGCCTTGCTGAGATATTGATTCTTCCCTCCAAGGTGATGAAACTCTGTTCCTGACTTTGAAATGCTCCAGGTCTCCACCTCTCCATTATTCTTCCTTCTTGGTTATTTCATTTGCAGGAATGTTCTTAATTTTCCCTGAAGCTTGTTTTTTGGTGGTGTATCAGGGAACATCACAGCTGACTGTCATGCCAGTGTTTTTGTCTTTCCAGATTGTGTTTCCTGAAATTTCCCATCAAATCTGTGTTCAACTCCTTCTGCATTCAGTCTCCTATTTTAAGGTCTTTATTGCAGGAATTATCTCTGTAGTCTGTATTTATACAACATTTCATGTGATGCAGATGTGATTCCAAAGTGGTGCCTTTGATAATACCTTTAAAATTGTTTTAGTAGTTAACAAACTTGAGAATGCTGTCATTTTATAGAAATAATTTTATTAATATAGGTTAGAGACAAAAATTAAGACATATTAAGACATTGTAGATGTTAACACTTAAAGATGAAATACAAATAATTAAAATATACATGTATTTTTTCTGGCCCTACCTTAGTTCCTTTGGTAGTTACGACATCAGCTGCTTTCTGTGGGGCAGCTGGAATGCTGAACTCTGATCTCAGCAGATAAGAAATATTTTTGTAAAGCTGTGCATTTAGACTAATTCTGTCTCCCGTAGAATGTGCTGAGGATTTGTGATCCTCAGCAAGCATTTGACAGATCTTAACTAGTTCTGCTCTGTCTTGTCAATCAAAATTAAACGCCCACCTCACTCCTTCCTACTTTCTCTCTCTTCCAGCCTTTTTATTTAGGTTGGTCATTAAAATTGCTCATAACCATAGTAACGAGGAAAACCCGCCCCTTACTTTCCAGAGCCTTAGTGTGATATTCCTGTACTGACATCGTGTGAGTTACATACTCGATGGCTTAAAAAAAACAAACCCAAAACCTGCAGGTGGGCAGAGTTGTCATTAATTCATCCCTATAATGAAATTGTCCCAGTTGATACCAACTAAGGAATCACATCCCTCTTGGATTCCTTTATGGAGAATGCAAAAGGGACACAAAGGAGAGGCCCTGCTGAGGAGAAACCACCAGAGAAAGATTGAATTGGAGAAGAAAACATCAGTTAGGGGGTTGGAACTGGTGGGAAGATGAAATGAGAAGATGGATGGGCAAGAATTGTCATGTGCAATGTGGTGTGGTTTTGATCATTCCAGGATTGGTTTTCATCCTCCTGGGGCTGCCCTGGGTGCTCTGGGAGATGGGCATAATGATATTTCTGGGAAATTGGACCACCAGGTTTCTACAGTTAAGGACCTGAACCCCACTTGGCAGGATTGGGTGTGCCATGGCTTAGCTAGTCCTAAAAAATTGAAATGACCACTGGTTTTTTGCTTGTACAGGCACTTTAAAAATGCTTGTCCCAAGGCTATGTGAGGGTGATAAAAACTCCTACCTTAGCATCCATGAACATCCTGAGATTTCAGTGCTGGACTCTGTGTGCTGCACAAATAATTCTGTTTTCATTTGGAGCAGGACTGCCTCAGTTTGAGGCAAAATTTTGTCATTTTTTTCTCCCCGCCTTCAATTGCAATAAATTGTATGTAGGAATGTCTCCAGGATGGAGATTATTCCTGAATTAGTTGGATATAATAGTTTCACCACTCTTTTTATATGAAGGCTTGTCTCTTGGGAAGAAGAATTTTGACCTTTGGCCAGAGAAATAACAAGGAAGAAGTGTTGTGTGATGTGGCATGACAAGGTGCTGCTGAGCAACATCTTAAAATTTAAAGGTCTTCCTTATTTACCCTGTCTTTGAAAGCTGGTTCTGGGTACTGTACTTTAACTTAAAGGCTCTTAATCATTATTTTTCCCCATGTTTTGGAGGTGTTGGCTTTTGAGGTTGTTGAAGTCGATTGTGTAATCAAAGAGGAGGAAAGGGTAATTGGATGGTTTTTCTAAGGTTTCTTGAGTTTTTTCTAAGAAAAACTCAAGGCAGGAGCTTCTTTGGCATCCTCTGCTTCTCTCTTTGGCTCCTGTGTCAACCCATGTGATTTTACTTGCTCCACCATCCCATCATAAGGAGGGATTAGAAGGCTTTCATGGTTAGTCTGGAAGGCTGTCTCCTGTGTGGTGATGCTCCTCCTGCTTAAAACAAGCCCAAAATATCAGCATTTTCATTAAAACATTTTCTTTGAGGAATAATTGCTGTAAAAAGTCTGTAATGTTTTTATTTCTGTACTTTGCCCAGTGTACAAGTGCCTCTACCTGAGTTGCCTAAGCCATTCTTCTTCTTCTTTTCTCTTTTCTTTTTTATTAAAGCCTAATAAACTGCATTAAAAGTGTATTAAATTCCTTCTGCAGCATTAGTTTCCAAATTTGGGCAGAAAAACCTGCAAACAGTTGTGAAAGTGTGTGTGGGAAATGAGTTTATTGTATCATTACAGTCTCCAGAGTTATCTGAGTTTCTGGATCCTTATGGGTGCTGTTCCTGATGAGAGGAAATGGCTTCAAGTTGCTCCAGGGGAGGTTTGGATTTGATATAAGAAAAACTTCTTCACTGAAAGCGTGATCAAGCATTGAACAGAGTGCTGAGGGATGTGGTGGAATCACTGTCCCTGAAAATGTTCAAAAGTCCAGTGCTGGGTCCACTTGGTTGTCTCAGTGGTGTGGTTTTCTCTCAGCAATCCCTGTATTTGCACAGGCTTTCTTTTTGTAGGAAATATAGTAAAAATGTAGTAAAAACATAATAAAACCAGTTTAACTAGCTAATACAACTATAAAATATGACATGGCTAAACAGGGGGAAATGACAATAATGTGAAATCACAAATTGCAGAAAATGAAAATTACTTGCTGTGTTTTTCTAGGCATCCCCTGATGTTTGCACCCTGAAATGAAAGGGAAGAACTGTTCTTTTGTTTCCTTTTTTTTTTTTGGTGTGTGTTCCATTGTCAACAGACATTGTGTAGGCCAAAAGCAAAGCTTGCCTAATATATGGATATGTTTAACAAATTCACAGGGTGTGAAAACTCCCAGTTGAATCTAAAGATACAGCTTAAACCTCAGTCTTGGGAATCCCTGAGCTTCAGACTAAGGGAAACAGAGCAGATAAAAGCCTGTTTGTGCTTTTCACATCTGATTTTCTTTTTATTTTCCCTTTTATCTAAACAGGAACAATACTGCTGAGCTGGGCCTTGGGTCCATTGGGTTATTGCTGCCAAGTTCCCAACAAGTGGCTCCACAGCACAGCAGAATAAAATTGTGGGTGAGGTAATTTTTGCTGTTTTCTTTCCTTGATAATCCTTCTCATTTCATTTTTTTTTTCTTTGATTTTGGTTGGTTTTCTCCACATCCTTTCGGCTCATTGGAGGTGATGCTGCATGTTGTAGAAGAGGCTCTGGAGTTGGGGTGTAGGAATGCTGTGGGCTTTGCTCTCGCAGATGTTCACCTCTGGATCACATTTTCTGCTCTTGCAGTGGTTTCTTTATTTTAACTGGTTACCACTGGGTGATCTCCATCCAAATTCTCCCTCTGACATCTGATCTTGGCTGTACACTAAGCTCTGGGATGTCCCCTGCTCATGGTATGTTGACTTTGAGTTGGGCTTTCTGGCCAAAGCCAGAGCTGCTGGGTGTTCTCTGCTAGGAACAGATGGTCAGTGAAAGTTCCATTTTTCAAGGTGTAACAGACTGTGTCTGTAAAACCTATGGAGTTCTTTAACAGCAATAACAGTTTTCTTAAACTGCATCTGGTTTTCCCACCTGGAATATCGTTAACGGTAATTTGTATCGTGGCTGGAATAGTTTTTTCATGGGCTCTAGCTTAACAGGAGGAAATAAGTATTTTCTTGGGCATTTTTGGTTTAGTGTCTGTTTTTCCTTGTTAGGATGTTACTATAGAATTAGTAAAATGGATGGATTCTGATATATGTAAAATGGATGTATTATCTGAATTCATTGGTTATCTTGCACAAAGAAACTGAAGATACTGAAGAAGTTTGAAACAACTCCTAAAAAAGGTTTTCTAAATTTTAAAAATATTTTTAATTTCTCTAATTCCGTTTTCCATAGCACTTGCAGCGTTGGCTTGTTCCAGCCCCGATTCATACACAGCGCTGAAGAGATTTGTAGCATTCAGTAAATAATATGCATAAATTGTGCCTATTAACGTTCTGAGTAATTACCAACAACAGAGTAAATACGAGGTTAATGAGATTAACAGGGCAAAGGAACGAAAGCTCTGAGTGCCCCTCCCGGTGGCCCCGGAGCCCAGGGTGGCCCCGTTTCTGTTGACGAGCCCAGCATGGCTGGAGCTGCAGCAGTGATTTTGCTGCTGTTCCCCATACAGAGCCTAATGAGTTCCTACTGCTGGCATTCTGCTTTAAATGCTGGATAATATTATTAAATCCCACTCCTTGTGAGGGTTGTTTTTAATAGTTGTGTTTAATAGTTTTGGTTTTTCCCCCCCTATTTGCTCTGGTTCTGGGGCTCAGTAATGAGGTGCCTGGTTAGCCCTCGTTCTCTGACATCTTCTCCCAAACATCTGGTACCCTCCTGGATGTCTCCTCAAGGCCAGAGGAACTGCCCAAAGTTTTTTCATCTTACTGTCAGAATATTGTACTCGGAAGTACTTTGAGATTAACTCTTATTTTCTTATCCTAAGATCCATCCTGGCTTGATTTCATTTGTCCTTTTCCTTTTTCCCCTCTAAGAGCTCTTCATTACCTGCTCTCCAGTAAGTCTTTCAGGGACAGATTTCCAAGCAAAACATGATTATTTTTCTACTCTAGTATCTCAAGCCCTCTCTCTTTTCCAGGTTAGTGGGTTTTCTGCTCTCTGTCCATCATCTTCCAGCATTCTCTGGCAGTCTTCAATGTTTTATCAATGTCACTACCTCAGAATTGTTTATTTGAGTTTTCTCCACCCAAAACTGCATCTGCGTGGTTCCCTCAAAGCTCTGGGCACCGACTCCCCTTGCTGGTCACGTCACAAACTGCAACCTATTTTTTTTTTCTGTTTTAAATGAAAATGCCTTACCCAGAGACCTATTTCATTTGCTCAAGATAAATGTTGTACTTATGACTGGTTTTTCTTGTTCAGGCAGTTCTGATTAAACCATGAACTTTCCATGTAAACAATTCAGGTAGAATATGGGCACTGCACATTGCCTAAATGAATTATTCACCTCTTTGCTTTTGTTTTCATTTCTTGGATATTCAGTTTTCTTTTTCGTGTGGGCTTATTTTTTTGATTTATTTTATTATTGAAAGTTATTCTTCTGTTTCAATTGTGTAAAGCAGTGATTTGTCTGTCCTGTCAGTTCTTTCATGCTTTGTTATGAGATCAACTGGTTAAGGGATCAGGAACACATGTAGTGTTCTCCTCTACCCTTCCAGTTATAGAGAATGATGAGGAGGAACCAGGAAGATCCAATAAATCAATACCTGGCCCTGATCCTGGTGTCAGCAGCACATTTTTGGGTTTTCTTGTCATGGGATGCTGTCTCAGTGGAGGTAGGGGATGGAGATCCCTGCAGCAGCAAAGGCACCAGAGTTATGGATGTGTTTGAAACCATGAGAATAGCCATGTAGGAATTAGGGCTCCATCCCCAAAAGGAGGTGGTGGGAACAATAGCCCAGCTGAAGTGCATCTGCACCAGTGCCCTCAGCATGGACAACAAACAGGGGGAGCTGGAAGCCGCTGTGCAGCAGGAAAAATATGGCACAGTTGCCATGAGAGAAACATGGTGGGATGAGTCCCACAGCTGGAGGAACAGGGAGCAGAACGAAGCCCCCATAATCCAAGGGGAAATGGTCAGTGACCTCTGTGCCACGTAGGCCACCACAAGTCTCTGTGGCCAGATAGGGTCACAGAATCACAGAATAGCTTGGGTTGGAAGGAATCCTAAAGATCTTCCAGTTACAACACCCCTGGCATGGGCAGGGACATCTCCCACTGTCCCAGGTTGCTCCAAGCCCCATCCTGGCCTTGAACACTTCCAGGGATGGGGCATCCACAACTTCTCTGGTCACCCTGTGCCACTGTTTCTCCACCCTGTTAAAATATTTCTTCCTTAGAACCTATGATGATGGGGATTTGATGGGAACAGTTCCTCCCTTGCCCTGTGCAGACGTGATAAAGGGCATTCTGAGGGAGAGGAAAGTAGATCTTGGGTTTTTTTGGTGGGGTGATCTCTCTCCCTTTTCCCTCACTCCCCAATGGCAAGAGGGGAGCAGTTTATCTGAGCGTTGTCTCTCTATGCCAGGGTTGTGGCCATGACTCCCATTGCTGGTCAGCCTGTGGGGAAATCATGCTGGTGTTTCCAGATGTTGCAATGCAGCTGGATAGAGAGGTTGCTGAGCTCCAGGACAGCGAGACCTCCATAAGGCGAGGAGCGTGTTAAATCATAACATCTTAAAGGCTCATAGTTTCATTGGATATTTTTGCAAATAGAAAAGGGATGGAAACCAAGGGAGGGACTTGCACATGTTTCTGTGTGAGGGCAGGGGAAACGACTCAGCTTGCTGCAGCTTGTTGCTAATATTTGTGTCTGAGCACTTAAAATTTCACAAGAGATATTAAGACTTGAGAAATGTGTTTTGCTGCCTTGTAAGTGTATGATTAAACCTTCATCATTTTCTTCTTTTTCACTGTGGGAATCTTTAAGTCATTACGCTTGTTTTCTTCAGGCATCATACTGAAAGCAAAGAGTGGCATTGTTATTTATTTATTTTTTGGAACGTGTTCCTCTCTGCCTGTTTTATGCAAAAGCACTTTAATTGATCTTGCAGACGGTCGAGAAGAGGACAAAGAAGAAAATATTTAATGCAGCGTATAATTCTTTCTGGTTTTGCCTCAAAATAAAAAGCCACTTTGCAAGAATTTATGTATCTAAACAGGTTTTATATAGACGGAACAGCTACATTTTATCTGCCTACTGCAGGAGGCTGATGCAAAGAAATCCCTTGATCAAGGGTACAAACTGGTTCTGGGTAACTCCCAAACTGTTCCAGTGATGAACACATTGCCAGTTTCTTGCCACCTTGATTACAATTGTTGTATCTTTCTATATTTGTGATTTTTTTTGACTATTTTAATTTAATCTTCTTGAATGTTAAAAATGAAAATGATGCAGGTCCATTCCTTGCTGTGCTGTACTGAAGCACAGTAACATCCCATTCAGCCAGGAGTCTCTCCTATGCATTTTGCAGCTCCAGGAGGCTTTGGATAAGGTGAGAGAACTGTGGCTTGTCTTTAATTCTCCTACTGCATCCAGAGCTTAGTCAAGCCTGGCAGTTGAACACAGATTGCCTGAACTGCAAAGCATCACTTCAGTGTCAACACCTCCCTTCTGTCTATTTAAGGTGAAACAACTGCAGGGATTCAGTGCTGTTGTTTGCTTCCCTTCAAGGTTTGAAGGCTGAACATCTTCAATACTGGTGGAGTCAGGAATATTTATGGGCTGGAGTCACCTTGCTTTGGCTCTGTCGTAGTCAAAGGTCAGATTAAATAGTGTGTGTCAGGTCCTGTTCCGTGTTTGTGATTTGTTGTGGCTGAGATGTGGAATGCACACACGAGTTAATACACATTCCCGTGGCTTGCTCCTTCATTACTAAAGATTTCTGGGCATATCTGGACATGGCCTGCAAGAGTCAGCTGAGAGACTGCCTGAAAGCTCTCCCTAAAATAGTCAGCTTTGGGAAGCCCTCTGTGGCCTGGGAAGACTGAAATGTGGACCATGGGGTTGTTGTCACCTTCATGTGCTGGAGATTTTATCAATTTAATTGAGTTAAAATACTTGGAAGACATTAATCTTTTTAGAAGTTGTGTCAATGTCTTGAATGTCTCAAGTAAGTGAAAATCCCTTATTGAAATAGCTTTTTGATAGTTTGGAGGTTTTCAGCTGCATTCATTTGAAATATGCCTTGTGCCATGACTTAAGAGTGCATTTTCAATATATTTTTGGATTTCTTTTATTTAATATTGAGCTTGGGAAAGAACAGCCCCTGTCAGCCACCCTCCCCCCAAAAAGAAGGATGAGTAAAAGCAGGAAATAAGCAAGAGGAGTTTGTCATTAAACCTAAATCCACTCACAAACATCTAGTAAAAAGGCATCTTTAGAGGATCATTCTGTACTTTTATTGCAAGGATGGTGTTATACTGCTGTATATATCAGAGAACTGGGTAACAGCACGTCCTCTGTCCTCAACAACTGCTTAGAGCTGTAGGTTTTTGTGCTCAAGCCAATGAATATTTTAGCTTGATGTCTCC